AAATGGAGTAAGAATTGATTTGTTGGCAATAAAACCTTGGTGACATGCGTGTGATACTAAAGTCAAAACAGAACGGTACCATAACCTTTCAGGTTATGGAAAACGAAACTTATTTTACAGGGCTTTTTGGAGGCCCTGTAATTTGTCTTTTGTCTTTTTTGGAGCGGTCGAGAGAAAGTCGCCGCTCTTTCGGCGCTGCACGCGCCGTTTGACTGGCAGTTGCGTCCATAGCTTCATGAGAAGCGTTGGACCGTCGCTCTGCCGAGCGATCCCTGGGCGTTGTGGGCTTCGGCTCAAGATACGAAGCCTTCAAACCCTCTACACCGGACGTCGACGGGGTTCCCGCAGTCTGCCCGTTGCCTTGGCTCGTGCCAATGCATGTCGACGCCCGTGGTGGGGCCTTGTTGAGTTAGGCCGGAGCAGCCTTGGCTGCTCCCGCAGTAGGGGCAAGCGGCGGTCGCTCCAGCACGCTGAGCGTAGCTTGGGCAGCCACCTGATGCTGTCGTGGTGCTGCCCCCTGTTGCACCACTTCAGCAAATGATTTTGTTGCATAGAAAGGGGAGACCCGATGCCTTGCTTCGCGGAAACTGATGTTGTGGGTGACTTTAATGGTAATAATTTCTTTTTCTTTTTTCCATGCTGTGCAGGATCTAGAATACGCCGCGTGTTCTCCATCGCAGTTCGCACAGTGGGGTTCGGCCTTACAGTCATCATCTGCAGAGTGGCCTGTGATACCACACCGTGCACAGGTAAGCTGCCCACGGCAACTCTGAGAAGCATGTCCGAATCTTTGGCACTTGAAGCAGCGCCCCAGATTCGGAATGTAGGTTCTCACAGACAGTTTTAGATAGCCGGTAACTAATTCTTGTGGTAGTGTGGAGCACCCAAAGGTCACAATTATGTGCTTGGTACGAATTTCTTTGTTTTCTCTTCTCACTACGATACGCTGTACGTGAACGACGTTTTCGTCCTTCCAGCCAGCCAGAAGCTCATCATTTGTTAGGTCTTTTAGGTCGTCGTCTGACACAACGCCTTTGACAGTGTTCATCGTTTGGTGCGCAGAGACGGTTACGGGCTTGTCCCCAAATGCTACTAATTTTTCTAGTTTCTGAAACTGTGTCTTGTCTTTAACTTCCACTAGCAAGTCTCCGCTTGCCATCTTTGTAGCCTTATAGCCAGTTCCGATAGTCTCGGTTAGGCACCTGGACACGAGGAATGGGGAGATGTTGCGAGCTTTTTTGTCCGAGCTTTCGCAATGAATAACGTGGTACTTAGGGAAATGGTCTTGTTTTTCTGAAATTGGCATTACATTTGCTTCGGTGCGCCACCTTTTGAAGGGGCGATCAATGGATAAGGGGTTTCGTGATCCCATAGAAAGTGCAGTTCCTTCAGTAATGGCGCCTACCACCCACCACGGAGCCCAACAAGGGGACGTGGCAGAACATGTAAACATGTCTGCGCAACGCCAGTAGTACGCCACTGCCATAACCTAATATATCTATCCAAGTTTGGATATTTACACCAGGTTAACCCTTGCCGCCAAGAAAAATTGGAAGTAAAATGAAGTGAGGAGAAGACAGGAAAGATGTAAAGTGAGAACAAAAGACGAAGATGTAGGGAGAGAGAGATAGGAAAAGGCGACTGCCGATTTCCCCTGGGTGGGTCAGCCAAGGGGTGCCGTCTACGTGAAGCCGGGGCCAAAGGGGTGTGTTGCCTCTTCCGGGGGGCCTTAAAGGTCCAATCACCCAGCGTCAGCTCAACCCCCAGGATCCCCTTTTCCCCGGACACGGCAAAGCCACGCACGGCTAGGCGTGGGAGGGAGCCGAAGCTCCCCCGTTAGCTCGGGTCCGTGGTGTCGCTACACACCAAACGCCTACTTGCGCAAGCGCCCCTGCGGGCCATATGATGCTATAAACAAATAATTTCGCAAAGTGAAATACAGGCGCATTTGCCTTGCAAAACACAGAAAAAAAGCATCATAAAAAGAAGAAATATGCCTAAGAGACCAAGAAACATATCATGAAAAAAGAACACAAAGCAGTATACAAAATACACGTCAACAAAAACAAAAATACAAAAATACATTCTTTAGAAATTACAAGTAACAGAAACGAGTGATCATGACGTCTGGAGGAAATGATTCCGCAGTTGTTTAAAGGTGATTTTTTCTAAGTCAATTTCGTTATCCCTAAGTTCATTTAGTAACCTTGGAAGTTTATTTCCCAACGATTGAAGACTGTATGTGGTTCTAAAGGTTCGAACAGTCCGCACTTCATTTTTCCGGGTATTATACTTAGGCTGGTTGAGTATTAAATCTGCCAACTGCTTTAGAAACGGGTTAGAGTTTTTTATGTCTTGCTTATATTTCTTGGACAGAAGAAAATCATACATTTTTATTACTGGCATTAGGTTGTATTTTTCAAATAAGGAACGAGTATGATAAGTATGTGGCACGTTCTCTACCGCCCGTACAAACCTTTTTTGCAACATATGAAGTTTGTTTATGTTTTCTTTAGAAGTTAGAGCCCAAACTAGATGGCAGTAATTGATTCTTGATAAAAATAAGGTATTGTAAATTAACAACAAAATATTCCGAGGAAGCAAGTGCTTGTTTCGGTACACAAGGCCGACTATCTGAGAGACCTTCGTAGCTAAGAAGTGTATGTGGTGATCCCATGATAATGTTTCTTGAAATATTACTCCTAATATTTTACGAGAAAGGACTATCTCGACAGGGGTGGAATTTAAAAAGATCGTTTGTTTTACAATTACCGCTTTATTTTTAGCATGAAATACCATAGCCTTAGTCTTTGCAACAATTATTTTTAGGCCGTTTTTTCTTGTTCATTTTTCTAATCTAATCAGCAGTAGATTTGCATGTGTTATTAATCCGTTCACTGATTTTCCTGTTAAAAATATATTCGTATCATCTGCATATATTATAAATTTTACGTTAGAGGAGATGTTCACGATATCATTAATGGAAATATTGAAGAGGAAAGGTCCCAAAATGCTTCCCTGTGAAACTCCTGCAACGATTGACAAAGAATCGGAATTGCAACCACCCAGGCTAACAATCTGATTATGGTGTTGCAAATAAGACTGTATTAATGATGCCACCGTTCCCCGAATACCGTACCGTTACAGTTTTTCTATAAGTTTTTGTGGTTAATGTGGTCAAAAGCTTTCGTATAATCTACGAACAACCCCAACACAACGTTTCCCTGTTCGAATTGCTGATAAATGTACTCTTTCTGTGCCATGAGAGCATATTCTGTACTGAAGCCTTTGCGGAAACCATACTGCGAGTCATGAAGCAACTGAAACTTCCTTTCAAAATTAGTCAGCCGTTTTAATATTAGTTTTTCTAATGCCTTCGATAGGACTGGCAGAATGGACACAGGCCGGTAATTCGACATGTTATTTCTATCGCCTTTTTTGAAGAGGACGGTAACGCGTGCAACTTGAATTTTAGTGGGAAAAACAGCCCGGCCAAGGCACAAATTGAATATATGCGTTATATAAGGAAGAAGGAATATAATGACATGCTTTATAGGTTGAACTTGTATCCCGTCAATATCGAGTGCTGTACTGTTTTTCAAATTCAAAACTAATTCTTTCACTTCATTCTCACTTGTCGGATCAAGAAAAATGGTACTGTCGATAAATGGGACACTTCCAAGGTTACTACTCACATCACATTTTTCTGCGACATTTACAAAATATTTATTGAAAGTGTCGGCCAAGGGTTTCCCTGATATGACCTCGCCGTTAAGATTCATGCTATGTACTGAACCCGTGGACACATTGCGATTTAAGAGAGAATTTAGCCTTTTCCACATTATATCTGAACACCCAGAAACTGAACTAAACATATTGTTATAATATTCTTGTTTTGCCTTTTTGAGATCTTTATTTAGGCGATTTCCTTTAACCTTGAATTCTTTAAACAATTTAGGGTCTTTCGTTTTAAGATAGCGGCTAAATAACATATTTTTTCTTGTATTCTTTTCCGAAGTTCCTCGTTGATCCAGAGTTTACGAACTTTCCTGTTATGCTTTGTTTTAACCAGAGGAAACGAAGCAGTATAAATTGGCTTTAGTATGTTCAAAAATTCTTCGTACGCCTTGTTTGGCTCATTCATTTTAAGTATATTCGTCCAAGGAGCCCTCAAAATCTTCTCCGAAAATATTTTCAGAGTTTGTTTGTTTATACGCTGGGTGAAAAATGTGTTCGGTTTGTTTTTGTCACATAAGTGTTTCCTACAACAAATGTATATTGGCAAATGATCACTCAAATCTACAGCAATAATACCAGCCTTGAGGTTTTCTGTCGATATATTTGTTAAGAACAAAATAATCAAGGACGAAGACATTTGTGTGATTCTCGTAGGGACAGTGATCATAATTGAAAAACAATGAGATTTCAGCAAAATATCAAGTTTTTGTACTATAGCTTCCTGTTTGAGCATATTTATGTTCATGTCACCGCCACACACAACGTCTCAGCGATTTCTGTTAGTGAATGCAAAAAACGTGTCCAGGTAATCCAGAAAGGATGCCGTTTCGCCATTTGGTGGTCTATAACAAACGGCAAGAACCACATTTTGTAGTTTAACTGATAGAAAATCGAAGTCATTGCAAGAGTGGGTGAAATTTTGAATTAGGTCACAGTCAAGGACTTTTTTCACAAGAATACATACGCCACCGCCACGACCGGAAATTCGATTAAGGTAGAACGTATTGTACAAGGGCAAGCGAAACACGCTGGCTTCATCTGTTGACCATGTTTCAGTTAACATTATGACGTCGAATACATGATTTAATTGTTCAAAAAAAAGGCTAAGGTCGGACTGTTTATTATTTACCGATTGCACATTCAAGTGAAAACATTTAAACGAGTTTGAATAGAAATTTCCTAAACTCTGCGAAAACGCTTCCGGAAGCACATAAGAATCGTTTCTTACGCAAGCCATGTTGAGCCGATCATTTCTTCTTTCTTTAGCTTAGTTTGTTTAGATCACTAGCATTTGCGATGCGTATGGCTTTCTCCCCATCAGCTTTACGCACTAGAACTTTCCCGTTTGAGTGCCATGCATACTTGAAGTTCGCTTCTTTAGCCCAGTTCTTTGTCTCAAACAACAGCGCACGCGCTCTTTTGGTCAGGTTTTCCGTCGAGAAGAAGTGCTCATTTAGGCTGCTCAGTTTCTTTCTGTTTTTCCACCAGAAATCTCGGTCCGCTTGCTTCGCAAAACGACAGATAACGACCGGCGTCTTATCTTTTCTGGGCGGAAGCCGATGAATGGCAACCACATCACTTTCTGCGAGTGGTGGGAACTGGTGTTTAGTTGCCATTGCATTGATCGCTTCTAGCAAGTTTTCATCTTCCGTTTCCTGTATTCCATGGAATTCTAGGTTGAGTCTACGGCTCCTCCACTCAAGATTATCTACTTCTGCCTGCACTTCAGCTACTTCTTGGTCCCGCATCTCAACCTTTTGAAATCTGCGCTTAAGGTCCTTGACGTCACGCTCGTTTTGTTCCGTATTTTTTTTAGTATTTCGTCGTATTTCTCACTCAAGTATTGCACCGCGTCCTCAATGCTCTCAACTGTTTCTTTGAGCAGTACTAAATTATCCAGCTTGTCGTTAATAGCTTTCATCCAAATTCTCGATCGATTTGTGGGGTTTAACGTCCCAAAACCACCATATGATTATGAGAGACGCCGTAGTGGAGGGCTCCGGAAATTTTGACCACCTGGGGTTCTTTAACGTGCACCCAAATCTGAGTACACGGGCCTCGACATTTCCGCCTCCATCGGAAATGCAGCCGCCGCAGCCGGGATTTGAACCCGCGACCTGCGGGTCAGCAGCCGAGTACCTTAGCCACTAGACCACCGCGGCGGGGCTTTCATCCAAATTCTGACATCTTGCATGTCGGCCTCACTGCCCGGTTCTTTTGATTCAGCTGATGCTGCTCGCAACCTCGACCGTCTACAGGTAGGGCAGCGCCATGCATCGCAGTATGCCTGCCCTTTGGACTTGATAGTTGCTTCAGAAATTCCAGCACATTTGCCGGCGTGAAATGCTTGACAACAGTCGCTACATTCAATCTATACGACGTCCCCAGTGAACGGCTTATCGCACACAGAACATGTTCCATCTCGGGGCATAGTTGCACAAAGCGACAAAGGAGAACAGTAGTTTACACAGCAGCACCAGATAGCAGCAGTAGTTGCGGCACAACCAAATTTACAGCGGGCATAGAAACAGCACCAACCTGCGAAACAGAAGAAGAGACCGTGTTCGTTTATGCCGTTCTTTCCGCCGCAACCGCTGCTGCCAAGTGGTCTCGGTGATGGCTTGGTCCTCCCTTTAAGAAGCCCAGTGGCTGTACGGCGCAGGTGCGGTAGAATTCATCGCAGGGTAGTTGGGCACAGGCGCAGCGGAGCTTGTTACCTCTCCTTCGCACCGACGGCGATGTGCATATGGACGACGAAAAATGCGCACGGTATCTGACAAATGCCAACAGCCTGCGAAACAGAAGAAGAGACCGTGTTCGTTTACGCCGTTCTTTCCGCCGCAACCGCTGCTGCCAAGTGGTCTCGGTGATGGCTTGGTCCTCCCTTTAAGAAGCCCAGTGGCTGTACGGCGCAGGTGCGGTAGAATTCATCGCAGGGTAGTTGGGCGCAGGCGCAGCGGAGCTTGTTACCTCTCCTTCGCACCAACGGCGATGTGCATATGGACGACGAAAAATGCGCACGGTATCTGACGAATGCCAACAGCCTGCGAAACAGAAGAAGAGACCGTCTTCGTTTACGCCGTTCTTTCCGCCGCAACCGCTGCTGCCAAGTGGTCTCCTTCATTGCGCTGCTCGACCCCCATTTGGCGGGATTGAAACCCGGCCTCGGGGGCTGTATACAGGTGGAGGCTGTATACAAAAATGCCCGTTGTTACACCCTGTAGTCCTCCATGGCAGGCATTGTTAAGTTTGACTTGTTAAGTTTCTGTTTGATGGGTTCGGGGGGGGGGGGGGGTTTCGTGGTCTTAATACCGTACATCCCACTACTCTTCAGCTGAGCTGGCCATAAGACCCTGGTTGTTCCCTATTCACTTAAATAAGGAAGAATGGTTTCGTGCCGCGGACTGCTCTCGAACGATAAACTGAATGAAAAGTCATACCGGGAATGTGCGAATGTTCATATTCTACTAATTTTCTGCAACGCATGCGGCTGCGGAGCTGATGAAATGTAGAGGAAGATGTGGACAAGGTTTCACGGCTTGCTCGGCAAACATTTTTGTTTGTTGGTAGTATTATTTCTAAACTACTATTCAGATTGGCTTCATTTTCATTTTAGTTTCATTTAAGTATCCTGCCGCCCGGTTGTTGGCCCATTCTCCTCTGTGGCTGAGCGCCGTCCATCAGAGGTCATTATCATCATCATCACTAACAGCAACAACAACCAAATATGAGATCAGCGGGCGCATTACGTGACAAAATTTCAAGAGAACCATCGGGGTGAATGAAGAAAGCTTTTTGGCGTTGTGAGGCATGGTCTTCAACGCGAAGAGTCCTTTAATTCCTGTGAAACCCGAAGCGAAACGCCAGTTCTTGAAGGCCGTCACAGAGCTTGGCTGCAAGTGGAACAACTCCGAGGGCTTCCCAACAGCTGTGAGGTACAGGACAGTTCATGAAACTCTGTACACCAATGCACCGAGGCGTTGAACGTTACTTCGTGCGTTATTGTTCCTCCACGTGCACGCTGGTTATCATCCGTGTGCAAAGTGAAAGGACTATAACGCAGTTCAGGTTCGAGAAGATATGCGAGGCACTCGAATGATGGAGACACTGGCTGCCTTGCACACACTATTCTCGCACAGTCATACGCTCTATAGAGGTCATAATGCATATATTAAGCATGAATACTACAATGAAATGCACTCCATAAAATTCTAGCTAATCAGTCGTTTAAGCATCAAAGCTTCAATTGACCGGTACGCGTGTGGCATCCAATAAGTGCAAGGTTTTTTTCCTGTTGAGAAGTATGGTACACGTAAATAGAAATATTTCCGTTCCTGCTAAATCAATTGGATATGAAAACTTTAATGAACATTGTGAAATTGGCTGCTCTAAATATGAAGGAAGAGAACCTCGACTTACAATTTCATATTTTCTTGCTGGTCTATTTAGAAACCTTTTATAAAAAAGAAACTTCTCCAGAATCAAGTTGATACAGTCACACATGTTCTCTTTTCGATACAGTATCCGCAATACCAATTGTTATATTCGAAGTGTGGGATAGCATAACTTTAATGTTTCCGCACTGAAGGTTCTACAGCGACTGCCCCTGAATCGGGGCACACACACAGTTTTCTTGCTTATTTTGGGCGAGAGTGTTCTCATCGCTGGCGCCCGTGTTTGGAGGCATCGCCACGACGCGCAGGCACAGAAGCGGCACCGACCCGTTTCGCCACACCGCCCCCCAACGCAGATAGGATCCATTAGGGTTGAAGAGGTTTGGGGACCCGCAACTGGCGTCCAAGGCGAGTGGTGTAAGGTGCGAGCCTAGGCGTTGCGGGCTGTTGTCGGCGAATTACGGGAGGCGTGTGGGGGTACGGGAGGCGTGTGGGGGTTGGTAGGCTTTTGGGAAAGGATGTATGATGGCTTTAGGCGGTCGATGGAAACGCGTACATCCTTTCCACTGATTTGCAGGGTGAATGTTTTGTTGTCGCGACAGATGACTTTGTGAGGTCCGGAGTAAGGCGGCTGGAAAGGTGTGCGTACGGTGTCATCGCGGTGGAAGGCATGCGAGCATGTTGCCAGGTGCTTGAACACGAACGAGGTCGGCTTGGTGTGGCGAGCCGCTGGTGAGGGGCGCAGGGCGCCCATTGTCCGACGTAGTCGAGCGACGAAGTCTGCAAGATCCGAGCTGGTTACATCAGAGGTCGGAGCGGAGAGAAGTTCTCCAGGTAGGCGAAGCAGCTCCCCGTAGACGAGTTCCGCGGGCGTGGCTTGAATGTCTGGCTTGAAAGTGGCGCGCAGACCGAGAGTGACGGCGGGGAGAGCTTCGAGCCAGGTTGAGTGAGAGGTGGGATATGATGGCTGCCTTGAACTGCCGGTGAAACCGTTCAATCATTCCGTTGGCGCAAGGGTGGTAGCTAGTTGTCCGTGAACACTCGAACCCGGTAGAGAGCCCAAGGAGCCTGAAGAGATAAGATTCGAATTGCCTTCCTCGATCGGTGGTGATTCGACGAGGAGTGCCGAAGCGTGAAACCCAGCCGGAGAAGAAGGCTGATGCGACGTCTTCTGCGGTGATCCTTTCGAGCGGCCTCACCTTGGGCCAACGAGCATAACGATCGATGGCGGTGAGGCAATAGCGGTAAGGGCCGGCAGGTGGGAGGGGGCCAATTATGTCGATGTGGACGTGCTGGAACCGTTCCGTCGGGAGGGGGAATCCTCCGAGTGGCAACGTGACGTGCCGGGTGATTTTGGCGCGCTGGCATTGGATGCATGTGCGTGCCAAGGTGCGGCAGTCCCGTTGCATTGTGGCAGTCCCGTCGTGACAGGGCCATGCGTACCGGTTAGTCACGAGGCGTGTAAAAGCTCGGATGCCGGGATGACTGAGGTTGTGGAACTAGTTGAAGAAGCTTTGGCGGTGCAAAGAAGGGACGTATGGTCTCACTCGTCCTGTTGATATGTCACAGAGAGAGTCCATTGACCCGAGGATGGTAACTTTTTTAAGTTGAAGGGAAGGGCCATTCTCGAGGAGCTGCTGGAGTTCGGTGTCCATTTTCTGAGCTTCGGCGAGGACGTCGGTTTTAACGGTTGGTAGCTCGACAGCCGAGACGCGAGAGAGTGCGTCGGCGACCACGTTTTCCTTTCCGCTGATGTGGAGGATATCTGTGGTGAATTTAGCGATGAAGGACAGCTGGTTCTGCTGGGCCGGTGGAAGTTCTTCGCGGAGTTGGGAGAAGGCGTGATAGGTTTATGGTCGATGTATATGGTACAGTGCTGTGCCTCAAGAATGTGGCGAAAGTGTCGAACTGCTTCGTAGATGGCAAGGAGCTCTCTGTAGTAGGCTAGCCAGGTCGTCTCCGCAGGGGGCGAGGTTGCATCGCCGATGCTGCCGGAAGGCAGGGGTGGCTTCGGGGAAGAAGAGTTTCTTCCGGAAGAATGCCAAGGGGCGCCAGTTTTTTTCCCACACGCTGCACTGAGAGAGGCTCCGACGGCGGTGCTAGAGGCGTCTGTGAAAAGACCCAGGAGCGCCTCTGGCTTGGGATGGAAGAGCAGCGTAGCGTTGCAGAGGGCAGTTTTGCAATCTTCCAACGCTTGCGTTAAGGCTGGGGTCCAAGTGACAGGATGGTTGCCGCGTTGGCCGGCCAACGCATCATGGAAAGGGCCCTGATATGTGGCTGCTTTAGGCACGAAGCACCTGTATATGTTGAACATGCCCAGAAAACGGTGGAGGTCTTTCGCTATGGCAGGCAGCGCGTAATTTTGCAGTGCCAGGATGTGGTAAGGCAAGGGTCTAGTTCCTTCTGAAGAGGTTTCATGGCCAAGAAACGGGCCGACGCGGGCGCCGAGCGTGCTTCTTCCTGAACGTTTATGAGTAAGCCGTGTTCGTCGAGACGCTGGAACACTTGACGAAGGTGTTGGCGATGTTCCGTTTCGTTGCAGGGAGAAGATCAAGATGTCGTCTATAGGTAGACAAAACAGAAGTCCAGGCCGCGGACGATCAGTCGTCGATGAAGCGTTGAAATGTTTGCCCCGCGTTGCGGAGACCAAAACTCATGAAAGAGAATTCGAATAGGCCGAAAGGCGTGATAATTGCGGTCTTTGGGACGTCATCCGGGTTTACAGGAATTTGTGTGTAGGCCTTTATCAGGTCCACCAGTGAGAAAATAGTGCTGCCGTCTAAGCGGTGTGCAAAGTCCTGTATATGACGGACGGGGTACCTGTCGGGAACGGTGCAGGCGTTGAGGGTGCGATAATCTCCGCAGGGGCGCCAGCCATTGGTCTTCTTTGGTACCAGATGAAGCGGTGAGGCGTAAGGTCCCTCCGAGCGGCGGGCAGTACCTTCGTGGAACATGGCTTCGAATTCGGCCTGCGCGATTCATAGGCGATCCGAAGCTAGCCTACGGGCACAGCATGAGACTGGGGGGCCGGGAGTAGTACGAATGTAGTGCACGGTTGAGTGGCGCACCTCTCGCGGACGCCCACTAGGTCGAGTCAGGTCGGGAATATCTGCGAGAATGTCGTGGTATGGCGACTAGTTCCCAATGGTGAGTGCCTTGACGTTAGGCTGTTGGGTGGTCGCACGTTGGCCCGACGTGAAGAGGCCTGTTGTAGCGTCGATAAGTCGGTCATATCGGCAGTCAGGTAGAAGATTGTAGTACGCCAAGAAGTCGGACCCGATGATCAGCTCTGCGACGTCGGTGATGACGAAATTCAATTGAAAATCTAGACGCAGGTTTTTGAAGTTGATGTTAAGGCGGAGTGAGCCGTAGGTCTTGATGGTCAAATGGTTCGCCGCGCTAAGCTCAGAGGACGTGAAAGGACGCTTGTCACGCAGGCAGGTTCGGGGAAAGCAACAGATGTCGGAGCTACAGTCGACGAGGAGCCGCCGCTTTGTGACTTGGTTGGTGACGAATATGCGACGACCTTTAAGTTGTCAGGTTGCGGCCGCCTCTATGGGCTGCCGTTGAAGTTTCCTTGACGTCCAGCTGAGCAAGGTGGTTGACATATCCGGGATTTGTCTCAAAGCGGCGATAGTTGTAACAGGGGCCGTTATCATTTCCGTGCGATGAAGCGGCGTTGTTTTGGCTTTGGGAGCGTTTTTGTGGACGCAGCTTTGGGCTCCGATCCAGGCGCCTTTGAATTGAGTCCAGCTCACGGGTGATTTCGTCGACACGGCGCGCGAGCTCGCTGCTGGACAAACGGGTGTCAACGGCATTGATGGTGAGAGGCGATGCTGGCAACGAAATCTCGACAGTTTGATTATGGTGCATTCAGACGACGGACCGAATCCCGATGTGGCGGGACGGACGGCGCGTCACGTGACCTCACATCAGCGATTCCCCTCGTCCGCGACTCGTCCGCGCGGCTCGCGGACGGATGAACTCAACCTGTTTCTCACATCGGGATTCTGGCGGGGGAGAGCCGGTACTTCAGCGGAATAGCTTGGGGTCGGTGGCAACCAGTACACTTTTCGTCTGCTCGCGGCATGTCCTCCATGGCTCGCGGACAGCTGCATGACTGGTCGGCATCATCTACGCTTGAGCATTGTTTACTTAGTTTCTGGAGACTTTGTTCTCAGGTGATTAAATATGCAGAAATCACTTTTGGTGGTTCGGGAAATGTCGCCGCCGTCGTTTGACACGCGAGATTAATCTTAGCCGTCATGGTGGTGAAATATTCTAACCTTTGCAACCGGCGACGTGCCGCTTCTAAAAAAAGGCGGGAGACACGTTTAGAAGTTCTACAAGTTGGGAATAATGTAGTTGAAAGAATATCCTGCTAGCAACTCCCTTTTCTCCTGAAAGAATAACACTACTCGTTCATTTGTCACAACACGACAGACATCGCAGCCAAGCTTCGCTTCTTGCGGGCATCCATGTTGAATACTCTCAAACCGGTCTGCTGCCAGCGGGCGCAGGTGAGCGCCGAATCTGCTGTCGAGGGTAATCCGGCTGTTTTCCCCTAGGACACCGGCCGTCGTGTGGATGCGCCTGCAGGCGGACCATCCGCGGATTAGCTGTCCGCGTCCTCGACAAATCCGGATTCGGTCCGTCGTCTGAATGCACCATTAGCGATGTGAGAGAGCTGGTCCAGGGGCAGATTCGGCTGCACCTGGAGGATGGCCTGCGCATGTGAGGGTAGACGCTGAAGCCAGATGATACGGAGGAGGGAGTCGTCGACCGGGGTGCTGCCCAAGAGGTCACACATGTAACGCAGGAGCTGCGATGGCTTGTGGTCACCGAGTTCCTCGTACTGAAGTAGGTGACGCACCTTCTCGTCTTGTGAAGGTGAAAGCCACTGGATCAGTTCCCTCTTCAGATGTAGCTAACGGTCATCAACCGGGGGATTAGCAAGTATATCGCGAACCTCAGCCTCATAGCGAGAGTCTACATGGGCGACGACGTAGTCATAACGCGTCCGGTCTTGGGTGGTGCGTGCCGTGGAAAACTGAGCCTCGACTTGAGCGAACCACACGTCACGCGTCTCTACCCAAAACGGCGGCCGCAGCAATGGAGGCGCCCGAGGTGGCAGGGAACGCTGGAGCGAAGTTTTGGGGGCGTGACCCAAGTGGGGTGGTGCATGGTCAGCGGACGAGAGTGCTTCATTTTCATTGCGCTGCTGCTGTTCCCGGAGCTGCTGCTCTTGGTTCTGGATCACTTGCTGCTGGGCCTGCAGTTGTTGTTGCAGTTGTTGTACTTGTTGTTGAAGGGCAGCAAGGGTTTTCTCGTCAGCCATGGTGGTGCGGTACGATCGTTTTCCGAGTCACCAGATGTGGGATAACATAACTTTAATGTTTCTGCACTGAAGGTTCTACGACGACTGCCCCTGAATCAGGGCACACACACAGTTTTCTTGCTTATTTCGGGCGAGAGTGTTCTTAAAGCTGGCACGCGTGTTTGGAGGCATCACCGCGACGCGCAGATGCAGAAGCGGCGCCGACCAGTTTCGCCACAAAGTATTGACATTACTATCAGAACTCTTCACTTCGGCTTCTATTACATGCTGAAACGCGGAGTTAGAACAAGTTCATATACTTTTCTACACCCTAACTTCGCTTTCACCTTGCACCGTCTTTGTCGCAGACGAACACATTGCGTGGTATGAGCTATCTATGGAAACTTTAGATGCTCTTTTTGCCACATTCATGCAGAGCTCTATGGCCGTTGTCGCATAAATATACAGCAGATTTGAAACTCTAACGTAGTAAAACTCGTGCTTTCATGTAGTACATTGGAACATTTTTTAAAATTTTTACATGCACATCTGAGCGGCAAAAACACCTGAAGAGAGTTAATGCACGTGCAAATCTAGTTATTCTCAGGTTGTGCTTTAGATGAGACGTTGGGCTGAAGATGGCGTGCTTTAATGATAACTAAACACGACGGTTTACTTCACGTGCTATGTTAAGGTGGGTACAAGGATTACACGGCGCTCTAGCTTCGCTTTTGAACAAATAATCATCTACTTATTATGCGCTTAACATTCGCAATTGATTTCTCTGGAACCGTCTGCCAAATATAAAGTCCCTGTTTCTGGAAAATCAGTTACCGCTATTCCCGCGACATTCTCAAGAAGTGGGAGCCCCAGAGTTGGCTCTAGTTTGGAAGCTCGTGTCTGTGCATATGGTATTTAATGCTTTTTATTATAATTATTTCACACCCCAAAAATAAAGCTTTATGAAGGTTTCTGCATTTTAGAGCAATAGCTGCACTATACTCTCGGAACAAGCAAAGAATACGCCTCGCTGTGTGAATCTGACATTAAGGCTCAACCAAAGTCAAACGAACAACTCCTTAGGATGGCTCTTTGCAGCAGCTATATGGGCTCTGGCGTCGTCCAAGTTTATTGGGCGCTTGCATACAGGTTTCCATTGACGCCAAGCACCGGCTGTGCGCCGTGTTGCGGTTCAACACAATGGCTACGTTGCTGCCGAGTGTAGTCTAAGTGCGTAGGCTTCTCATCGTTCTTTAATAAGCAACGACATACAACCAACGACCACTGCGATCAGCCTAACCCAAATAAACTAAATCGAGCAATCACCTACACACTTAGTTTTGACGGCGTTCCATTATGGTATATTTTAAACAGCACGAGTGGGAAATGTATTCACACATGTACCCACATGCATTCACTCCAACCAAAGGCTAGTCCATCTATCCCTCCGTAATGAACTCAGTCAAGATTCCAAAAAAGAAAAAGAAATAGCACATTTTAATGACGCGAGACTGTTCGTTTATTGATTCTCTATACACCACTTGGAACTGTATTTCTTTCTTGGTGTGATGGTTAAAGACGTTCGTCACTGTGTTTGTTGATAGCGGACGAAAAAGGATTAACATCAACAATGGATGCGAACAAAAGAAGCGTTATATTTTACACTAGAGAACGAAGTGGCAGGTGAAAATAAAACTATATGTCCAACCCTACACGCCACGCGTCACGCAACATGTACGAGAGTCAGACCTCTAGCATGCGGAGAGCTCGCGGCTACGCTTACTCCGAGTCCAGCGCGTAGAGTTCTCAGTTCGCAAGAGAAAAACGCTGCCTCACAGTTTGGGTCCCCGTCGTCCCGACATGATGCGATCGTCGACGTGCGCGAGGGCAAAGGTGGCACGGCTGGAGCGGCTGGAACGGCTTACGGCACACGGATGCGCTACCGTGTGCAACGCCGTTTAGTCAGACGTCGCGGCCAGCAGTCAGGGTCGCAACTCCTGAGGTTCAGGGTCAGGCCCCGGCTCACGAGGACCACGCCCGGTAGGCCTCGCCACGAACCTGCTCCCGGCCACTGCACCCAGGCAGGAGCCGTTCAGCAGGCCCCGTCCTTGCACCTTGTACCGGCCGGCGGACTCGACCCCGAACGAACACGCCGGAGCTCGACCTGGCCGACACGTACGGGTCCCACGTCCGGCTCAGGAACGCTCCCAGGAACTCGTCCAGCTCGAGCGGCGCACTGCTTCGTCTGTCTTCGTGGTCTCCACGCTCGAGCTCGCTTTTCCACGTTCCTTCTTCCTCTCCTCTTCTTTTTCATTTCTTGTTATCGCCTTCGTGCCACCTGCCCTCCGCTCGTCTTCTTTAGTTTCGGTTTGGCGTTCCTCGGCGCTTGCAAGTCCTTTTAGCACAAATCGTACCTAAACACAGCACTTTTGTGTCCATTCCTTACAAATATCCCCCTGCTCAAGAAAGTTGTTTAGGGGGAAAACAACTTTTCACAAGCGCGCGAGGTGGAGTACCCAAAAGCGAAAACATAGCAAAAAAAACATTATTTACAGAAGTTCATTCTGTTAGGGAAAGGGTGAATTGACATGAAAAGAAATTGTGCCACCAGTAAACGCTAACCAGCGGAGAAGTCAA